CGCCCCGGCCCGGCGGCGGCCACCCGTCCCCGCGGCGGGGACATCCCGGCGCCCTCTCGCCCGCCCCGGGACTCGCCTTTGTCCTAGCTGGGCCGCGGCCTAAGCCTGCCTGATTCGCCTCGGAGCGTTGCTCTCTCGTGCTGTCTCCCTCTGGAGGTTTCTGCACTGGCTGCTCAGAAGGAGCCGCTGAACACCCGGGGAAACTGAGGCTGGGAGTGGTGCGTTGCTTGCTGAAGATGCCACAGCCAGACCAAAGACCTTCCTGTTTCTCTTGTTTTTTTTTTTTTTTTTTTGGTTTTGTTTTTTTGAGACAAGGTCTTGCTCTTGCTATGCAGTTCAGGCTGGCCATGAACTCACTTTGTAGCCCAGGCTGGTCTCGAATTCACAACCAACCTCCTGCCTCAGCCTCCCGACTGCTGGGATTATGTCACCAAGCGGCTAAAACCTTCCTCTGGCCAGGCATGGTGGGGCACGCCTGTAATCCCAGCATTGGGCTGAGGCAGGAGGATCGCAGGGAGCTTGAGGCCAGCCTGGGCTACATAGAGCATTCAAGGACATCCTGAACTACAGAGCAAGACCCTACCTCCACACAAAACAACACAACTCTACTCCTGCACAGCTCAGGAGTACAGCACTTGCTTGCATCGGCCATGCTCAAGGCCACCGGTTGCCGGTTAAATCTCCAGCGCCAGGGTTGGGGGTGAAGGGGCTCTAACTCTGCCATTCAGCCTCCAGAATTCTCTGAACTGCTAAGAGTCTGGCTTCGGGTTCCCCAAGATCTTCCTTAACAGGCGTTTCTAGCCAGGTGTGGTGGTGCAGGCCTGTAATCCCTGCACTCAGGAAGCTGAGTCAGGAGGATCATTTCACGTTTGAGGACAGTCTGGGTTACAAAGTGAGCCCAAGGCCAGCCTGAACTGCATAGTGAGACCCTGTCTCAAAAAGATTTTTTAAAAAAGGCTGGGGATATAGGTCAGCGGCACAAGCGCCTGCCTGGCAAGCACAAGTTCGTGAGTTCGATTCCCAGTACCAAAAAAAAAAAAAAGGCATTTCTGACACAGATCCTGAGGAGACTCCAAAGCAGATGAGTGCAGTGACCCAGCCAGGCTGAGAAGGAGACTCCAGCTCCTGCCCCATTTCCATGTGCACGTGGAAATCTAAGAACAGGTTAGTGTCCTACAGCAAGAATAACTTCGCCTGAGAGATGAGGGCAGAGAGGAAGTAGAAGGGCGTCTGAGCAGCCAACCTTCTGGCTCTGGAGCTTGAGAGTGGCCAGGTACCTACGTCCCTCTCTGGGTCCCTCTCTGTGTTTCTCCCCGCTCTACCGCTGAGTTACAGCTCCAGCTCTTATAATGTTTTCTATTTTGACACAGTCTCACTGAGTTGCCCAGGCTGGCCTCAACTTGCAACCCTCCTCCCTCAGCCTCCCTTGTGAATAGCTGGGAGTTACAAGTGTGTGCTGTAACAATTCTTAAGTATATTTTCTTAGTGATTGCCCCAGGGTTAACCATAAACATCTTAATTTTTCATAGTTAGCCTGATTTCTACTGACTCAGTTCCAGTGAAGTATATAAATGTGACACCTATAGCTCTATCCCCTCCCTCCTTGTGTGGTCATACTGGTACGCAGATGACATCTGCAAGTGTTACCAACCAGCAACACATTGTTATCATTACTGCGCAGAAGTGTATATCTTTTATGAAGTGAAGGAAGGGAAGCAAGGATATCTGCCACTTTATTTATTTATTTTTGGTACCGGGAATCGAACTCAGGACCTTGTGCTTGCCAGGCAGGCGCTTATGCCGCTGAGCTATAGCCCCAGCCCTGCCATTTTATTATATTCATCTTACTTATTTATCACTTCTGGCTCTTTTAATTTATTCTTGTGAATATGAGTTACTATCTGGAGACATTTCTCTAGCCCAATACAGCATGGCTCCTACATAATGCCTTTATGCTACTATTGGCAAATATATTTCTGTATGTTACAGGTATTACACTTTATATATTTCGTACTGGGGATTTAATCCATGGCCTCATTCATGCTAAGCATGTTCGACAAAGCTCCAGCCTCCTGTATACTGTACTAGTTTAATTAGGAGAAAAACCACAATTGTGGTTTTTGTTTTTGCTCCTGCAGTACAGGGGATTGAAGCTAGGGCCTTCACACTGAGTACATCTTTACTCCACTTTTTCTTTTTTTTGGAGACAGGAGCTCACTAAATTGCTAAATTGCCCAGGGTGGGCTTGAACTTGCAACTGTCCTGCCTCTGCCTCCCAGAGTGCTAGTATTACAGGTATGCACCACCACACCTGGTTTATTTTTTATGTTTTGTTTTGTTTTGTTTTGAGACAGGGTCTTGCTATGCAGTTCAAGCTGGCCTTGAACTCATGACGATCCTCCTGCCTCAGCCTCCTGAGTGCTGGCTGGGATTAAGGTATGCGCCACCACACCTGGCTTGGCTTAATTTTTTAAATCAGTTAAAAGAAGGAACACAAACACATTTTATACTGCCTTTTATAATTACAAACTTATCTTTTCTGATATTCTTTTTTCAGGTGGACTCAGACTATTATCTGAGGTCACTTGCTTTCAATTTCAGCCTGATTAATTTTTTTTGTTTGTTTGTTTTCTGTTTTTTTCTGGTACCGGGAATCGAACTCACGACCTTGCACTTGCCAGGCAGGCACTGTGTCATGGAGCTAAATCCCCAGCCCCCAGCCTGATTAATTTTTTTAAGTATTTTTCTTTCAGGAGTTGGGAATCAAACCCAGGCACCAAGTTACATTGCTTTTGTTCCGTAACGGTCTCATTCTGTAGTTCAGTCTGGCCTCAAACTCACTATTATAGCTCAGGGTGGCCAGGAACTCACAATCCTCCTGCCTTAGTTTCCCAACTGCTGGGATTACAGGTTGCACCACTGTGCCCAACAGCTATCAATTTTTGATCAGACAATATTCACCTCTCTCTTTCCTTTTTTATTTTTTAAAATTCAGGGTCTCACTGTGTACCCCAAGCTGGCCTCAATTTTGCTATGTAGCCCAAATGGCCTCAAATTTAGAATTCTCTTGCTTCAGCCTTCTGAGTGCTGGGATTATAGGTATGTGCCACCATGCATGGTTTAACTTTCACTTCTAAAAGAAAGATTTGTTGGAACTGCAATTGTACTTGGCATTTTCCTTTGAGTATATTCTCCCGCTGCTCTTGGACTTTCACTGTTTCTGCCCAGAACTCAGCTGTAAACCTCTTTTGGGTGACTTTAGGACAAGTTGTTTTTCCCCTACTGCTTTCAAGATTTGCTCTTTGGCTTTCAATATTTTTACTATGATGTGTCTGTGTGTGGATCTCTCTCCATGTTTTTTTATTTTTTTGTTTTGTTTTGTTTTTTCTGGTACCGGGAATCGAACTCATAACCGTGTGCTTGCCAGGCAGGCGCTGTGCCGCTGAGCTAAATCCCCAGCCCCTTTTCTCCATGTATTTGACTTGGGGTTGACAGGTCTTCCTGGAAGTGTAGATGATTATTTAATTGTAAATTTGGGAATTTTTCTTCTATCATTTCTTCAAATATATTGTCTGCTCCCTTTTCCCCCCTCCTCTCTGGTACTTTCATTACACGTATGTTGCTATGCTTAATGTTGCCCCACATTTCTTTGAGAATCTATTTTTCATCATTTTACCATCTTTCTGTTCTTTGGATTATATAATCTCTTACTAAGCTAGCTTCAGATTTGCTAATCCTTTCTTCTGCCAGTTTGTATCTCCTGTTAGGATCTGGATAAGTGTTCTTTTCAGTGATCATACCTCTCAATTCTAGCATTTCTATTTGGTCTTTTTTTTTTTTTTTTTTTTGTCTTTTTGAGACAGTGTCTGCTATTCAGTTCAGGCTGGCCTTGAGCTCACTTTGTAGTGTAGGCTGGCCTCGAACTCGCAGTGATCCTCCTGCCTCAGCCTCCCAAGTGCTAGGATTATAGGCGTGAGCCACCACGCCAGGCCCTATTTGGTCTTTTTTTAAAAAATAATTTCTCAGCCAGGCATGGTAGTACATGCCTGTAATGCCAGCACTTGGGAGGCTGAGGAAGGAGGAGCACTGCAAGTTTGAGGCTAGCCTGGGCTACAAAGTGAGTTCAAGGCCAGCCTTAACTACATAGTGAAACTATGTCTCAAAAAGACAAAAAATAATAATAATAATTTCTCTTTTCATTAGTATTCTATTTTGGATGTGACAGTGTCCTCAGCCTTTTCTTTATTTATAGTTTCCTTTGGTTCCTTGAATTTATTTACAATGGCTACTTTGAAGACCTTGTCTGTTAAATCTGCCATCTGGTCATTTTCACAGGTAGTCTTTGTTGTCTGATTTTTTTCACAGCATATGAGTCATTCTTTCCTATTTCTTTGTATGTCTCATAATTTCTTGTTGTTACTGGAGACCAGACATTTTAGATAATATATTGTTACTGGTCCTCTCAACGCTAGGGGCAAATGGGTGTGAACGCATGCATGTGAGATGGATGAGAAGTGCCGGACTTTCTCATTTTCCAGAGCTGCTGGACGATGTGGCTTGGCCAGCAGCTGTCAGGCCCTGTCCCTCACCCCGT